AAAACCGAGAGCGTTCTGCACGCCAGGCACCCCTGCGATGAATCGACAGGGGGCGGCGGATCCGAGTGGCCTTCGGCACATCCCGCCACCGTGCCTGGGTTGTGGGTCTGAGGCGTCTTATATCTGTGTTGGGGTGTCGTGGGGAGCCTCTCGGGGGCCTCTTGGAGGCGGTTTGGGCGCCTCTTGGGGGCCTCTTGGGGCCTCGTGTGGTATATTGGTATCTTTTGGGCTTCTTGGAGGCCTCTTGGGCGCGTCTTGGGCGCCTCTTGGGACCTCGTGTAAGAGATCGTGGCTTCGGGGGCCCGAATGTGACGCGATGTGCGATGGATCGTGGCTTCGGGGGCGCGCATGTGGCGCAATTTGCATGGGATCGTGGCCTCGGGGGCGTGAATGTGGCGTAATTTAAAGGAGGTCGTGGCCTAGGGGGCGCGAATGTGGCATAATCAATTAAGGATCGTAGCCTCGGGGGCGCGACTGTGGTGTAATTTACCAGGGATCGTGGCCCCAGAGGCGAGAACGTGGCGTAATGTACGGGGGATCGTGGCCCCCGGAGCGCGAATTGAGCATACTTTGTAAGGGATCGTGGCTCCGGGGACGCGAATACCGTGTAATTTACAAGGGATCTTGGCCTCGAGGGCGCGAACACAGCGTAATTTACAAGGGAGTATTGCGTCGGGAGCGCGAATCTGATGATTTTTTGCGTGTCCCACGGCCTTCCAAAAATTCAGACAACGCGACTCGGGGACGCTAACCAAAGCCCTTTTCGGCTCCCCCCCCCTCGCGCGGACACTAACAATCCCACCAGCCCTCTGGGCGTAGGTGGTTTAGAAAGTTTACCGTTCCACCCCCCTTCTTCCCCTTCGGGGTGGGGTTTATCATTATTCCTTATTAATATACACCCCTTCCCCACCCGGCCGGCCTCCAACCAGGAACCATGCCGACACCATGCCGACCCACCCCCCACCATCCTTATCAAAATACACTACAAACCGCACTCTGCCTCCACATTTGGAGCATGCGCGGCCAACTCGATGCGCCCCCCCCCCCCCCCCACACCATCCCCATCAAAAAACACTGCAAAGTACATTTTGGGGCAAAGTCTTGAGTCATGTCTGTGAGGCCCGCGAACACGTTGTATTGTTTTTGACAGGGACGACGGGGGTGCCAGCATATTCCCTGCCGCGCGAAGGGCTACCATGCCTGACACAAAAACAATACAACACGCACCTCGCGGCTAAATCTGGATCATGCGCGGCCATCCCGCGATCACTGTCAACTGGTTTTCGACAGGGACGGCGGGGGCGGTGGCGCGTGGCCCGCTGCGCGGAGGCCCATCAGACACAATGATGGGCACTGGCTTTCGACAAGGACGGCTGGGACCGACATGTGTGTCGTCACGTGCGCAGGCGCGCAGGCGCACCTGACGCACTCTGCACGTGCCCCGAACATGGCGCACCTGGCGCGGCTGGAGTGTGCGGCACACCTGGCGCACTCGGAGCACGTGGCGCATCTGGCGCACCAGGCGTGCCTGGCACGCTCGGGCCCCAGGGGTGCCTGGCGCGCGTGGCGCCCCTGGCACGCGTGGCGCACATCGCCCAAGCGTCGCGCACCTGGGGTCGGCTTTGGTTCCAGTAGCTGCCCATCCAACGACGACCACTGAACATGATCAGGCTCGGGTGTTACTTACGCGTTGGGAGGGCGGGCGGGAGTGAGCTAAACGGCTTGTGGGCGGGTGGGTAGCTTGATCACTGCTCCTTATTAATATACGCCCCCTCCCCCAGGCGCCGGCGCCCAACCAGGAACCATGCCGACACCATGCCGACCCGCCTCCCATCATCCCTGTCACAACAAAAAAAAACAATACGAACCGCATTCTGCCTCCACATTTGGAGCATTCCCAACCCGCCTTGGTTGGGTATTCGTTTTGAATAGAGCACTGCGGTCGCGTCCTTCTCCTCCTCTCCCGCCTCCTGCTTCCCGCTTCCCTCTTGTCTGCTCTTGCCTTGTGCGGACCTCGCCATCCCTGGGGGGGCTGCGATCTGCGAAACTGTCGCCACTTCCAAAGGCTGCTAGTAAGTCCTACGAAGTGAGGCACAGCGGGGACCTGAGCGAGACCTCGCCGTCCCTGGGGGCCTGCGATCTGCGACATTGTCGCCACTTTCGAGGGCTGCTGGTGGGTCCTGCGGAGTGAGGCACCGCGGGGACCTGAGCGAGACCTCGCGGTCCCTGGGGGGGGCTGCGATCTGGGACACGGTCGCCACTTTCGAGGGCTACTGGTGGGTCCTGCGGACTGAGGCACCGCGGTGACCTGAGCGAGACCTCGCCGTCCCTGGAGAGCTGCGATCTGTGACATTGTCGCCATTTTCGATGGCTGCTGGTGGGTCCAGCGGGGTGAGGCACCGCGGGGACCTGTGCGAGACCTCGCCGTCCCTGGGGGGCTGCGATATGCGACACGGTCGCCACTTTCGAGGGCTGCTGGTGGGTCCTGCGGAGTGAGGCACCGCGGGGACCTGAGCGAGACCTCGCCGTCCCTGGGGGGGGGCTGCGATCTGCGACACTGTCGCCACTTTCGAGGGCTGCTGGTGGGTCCTGCGGAGTGGGGCACCTCGGGGAGCTGAGCGAGACCTCGCCGCGTTCTTTGGGGGGGGCTGCGATCTGCGACATCATCGCCGCTTTCGAGGGCTGCTGGTGGGTCCAGCGGGGTGAGGCACCGCGGGGACCTGAGCGAGACCTCGCCGTCCCTGGGGGGGGGTCTGCGATCTGCTACACTGTTTCCATTTTCCAGGGCTGCTGATGGGTCCTGCGGACTGAGGCACCGCGGGGACCTGAGCGAGACCTCGCCGTCCCTGGGGGGCCTGCGATCTGCGACATTGTCGCCACTTTCGAGGGCTGCTGGTGGGTCCTGCGGTCTGAGGCACCGCGGGGACCTGAGCGAAACCTCGCCGTCCCTGGGGGAGCTGCGATCTGCGACATTGTCACCGCTTTCGAGGGCTGCCGGTGGGTCCTGCGGACTGGGGCACCGCGGGGACCTGAGCGAGACCTCGCCGTCCCTGGGGGGGGGGGCTGCGATCTGCGACACGGTCGCCACTTTCGAAGGCTGCCGGTGGGTCCTGCGGACTGAGGCGCCGCGGTGACCTGAGCGAGACCTCGCCGTCCCTGGGGGGCTGCGATCTGCGACACTGTCGCCGCTTTCGAGGGCTGCTTGTGGGTCCTGCGGAGTGGGGCACCGCGGGGACCTGAGCGAGACCTCGCCGTCCCTGGGAGGGGGGGCTGCGTCAGTAACCACTACGACGCCCTTCTTTCTTGAACGGAGGCCTGCGAGCCTCCCGATTGCTGCTCGCACAATCACATGCGTTCATGTTACGTCATCGCCCCCGTTGTAGCAATCCTGATGCACATATGCCCCGCATTGCGCAAGGGTTGGGTACGTCGCCAGGGTAATGCGCGGCCAACCCTTTCTCCCCCCCACCATCCCTGCCAAAAAAAACAATGTAAAGTACACTTGGGGCAAAGTCTTGAGTCACGTTCGTGAGGCCCGCGAACACGTTGTATCGTTTTTGACAGGGACGGCGGGGTTGCCAGCATATTCCCTGCCGCACGCAGGGCTACCATCCCTGACAAAAGACAACACAACATGCACCTCGCGGCTAAATCTGGATCATGCGCGGCCATCCCGCGATCACTGTCAAAAGGTTTTTGTCAGGGACGGTGGGGGTGGTGGCGCGTGGCCTGATGTGCGCAGGCCCACCAGACACAACGGTGGGCATTGGCTTTCGACAAATATGGCGGGGGCCGAAATGTTTCCCGATGTGTGCTGTCACGTGCGCAGGCGCACCTGACGTACTCTGCACGTGCCCCGAACATGGCGCACCTGGCGCGGCTGGAGTGTGCGACACACCTGGCGCACTCGGAGCACGTGGCGCATCTGGCGCACCAGGCATGCCTGGCACGCTCGAGCCCCAGGGGTGTCTGGCGCGCGTGGCGCCCCTGGCACGCATGACGCACATCGCCCAAGCGTCGCGCACCTGGGGTCTGCTTTGGCTCCCAGTAGCTGTCCATCCAAAGACGACCGTTGGACATGCTCAGGCTCGACTGTTACTTATGCGTTGGGAGGGCGGGTGGGACAAAAAGACTCCCCTGTTCTTTGATCGATCTCCTCCAAGATGGCCCAAAAAGGCGCCCAGGAGGCTCCAAGAGGTCCCAAGATGGCTCCAAGATGGACCCAAGAGGCCCCCAAGAGGCCCCCAGGAGGCCCCCAAGAGGACCCCAAACGGCCCCAAGAGGCCCCCCCGAGGCACCCAAGACGCCCAAGAGCCCCCCAGGACCGCCAAGAGACCCCCAAGACGTCCTAAGAGGCCACCAAGATGCGCCCAAGAGATACCCCCAGAGGCTCAGAGAGGCATCCAAGAGACCTCTGGCCCTTTTGCTTGCCCTCCTCCTCCTGCTCCTCCTTCCTCCTCCTACGCCTTCTCTTCCTCCTCCTCCTCATCCCCCTCCTTCTTCTCCTCCTCCTCCTCCTCCTCCTCCTCCCCAACCTCCTCCTCCTCGTCCTCCTCCTCGTCCTCCTCCTCCTCCTCCTCCTCCTCCTCCTCATCATCATCATCATCAGATTCATCATCATCATCATCATCATCATCATCATCATCATCATCATCATCATCATCATCATCATCATCATCATCATCATCATCATCATCATCATCATCATCATCATCATCCTATTCATCCTATTCATCCTCCTTCTCCCCACTCCCTAATCCATCCATCCAGCCTCCTCCTCCCTCCTTCGCACGGTTCGGCCGCCCCCTCTTTGCTCCCGCACTTCCCTGATCACCTCAACTCGCCTGGACATCGTTCATGGATGGGCTCTGGTGGGATACGCGAAGCGTTTAGAATTTACAGTAAGAAGCAGAAAGCAATTGGAAATTGGAAACTGGAACTGGCGCGGGGAGCAGCAGGCCTGATCCTCGCAGCCCGATGGCCCCGCAAGGGGGGCTGGCGGATTTGTTGCACGTGGCTTATAAAAGCACGATGGGAGCAGCACACATCGGATCTCGGACCCGAAACCTCCCCCCCACCAGCGTTCCCCCTCCATCCGCCTCTCCTCTCTAGGTGTTCCGCGCGCGGCTGGCCACATGCTGCGCCTGCCCTGGCGAAACGCTGTGTAGCACGAGCCCTCCGAGGCGCGTGGCACCTTCCTAGCGGATGCCGAGCCCGGGCCTTCGCGGGCCGCCGGCCCGCTGGCACCCCGCCGCTCGCCCTCCTCCTCCTCCTCCTCCTCTTCCTCCTCCTCCTCCTCCTCCTCCTCCTCCTCCTCCTCCTCCCCTCGGCAGCTCGCAAGAGTACAACCCATTCGCCAGGGGGTGGCCTCTGGTGCGCGGGCGCTCGGCTCCCGGACGTGCGGCGTCCTGCTGTGTCTTCAGGACGGCGCCCCCGGAAGTCCAGGAGATCTTTCCCTGGGGCTGGGTGTTCGTCCTGAGTTCGCCACGAACGAAATGGGTACGGAAAGACTGGGTACGATGCCCAACAGCAGTTCCTGTTCATTTTGAACAGGATTCGCTGTCCACGCCGCCGCGGCCTGTGTCCATTCGAGACAGAAGGCCGCCTGCCCAACAGCGGCCGCTGTTGGTTTGGGACAACATTGGCTGTTGGGCATTGTACCCATTCTTTCGGTACCCATTGCGGGCGTCCACATGAGCAGTTTTTTCTCGGGGGCGGCAAAGAGGGGGGTGATGACTAGGGGTGGGTGGGTATCATGGTGGGGGCCATGAAATCTCCCCAGATTTCCTGGCGCCCCTTCTCCTTTCATTGCGTCCCCGCCCCCCCCCCTGGGCCGCACACATGCCGCCGGCCATGATTTGCGCCCCCCCCCTCTGGGACGCCCCCCCCTTGGCCGCCCCCGATTTTCGTCCTGAGTCGTTTTTTTGGCGGTCCCGGGGGCCGGCGAGGGCCCCCCAGGGGCCGAAAATTATGAAAAGAACGCCCGTCCTGATTCGTTGCACGACGCGATGCACGTCTGGGTTCAGAGGAGTCGACTGGACGGAAGAGTGACCTCTCGCTAGAGTGACCTTTCGCCTGTGGTTGCGGGCACATGGCTTCTTGGGGGCCGTTGTTCCGGAGGGGAAAAAACACACAGACACAATGAATCGTCGACTCCCAGAGAATATGGGAAAATATGGGAAGTGGGGGGGAAGACAAAAACTGAGAACATATTGGAAAAGATGGGAAATCCTGTGATTTGTGCGTATTGCTTTGCGTGTCGCAGGGCCCCTTCAGCTGTTTGGCCTCCGTACGTGCGACATGCGGAGCACGTCGCCGCATGCCGTACGATTCGACAGACGGCGCAGGCCGCGCAGGCAGGCGGCCAAGACGGCACGCGTGGTAGCCGCTGAGCAGAGCGCGACTGG